CAATAGATCCTCCTAAATGGTTCACACTGGAGCTTTAAAACTTAAAAATGTAGTGAAGACAGTTGCCTTAAAATAGTTTTCTCAACTTTTTTTTTACAGTGTGCATAAAATCTGCCTTAAAACATGGCAAACCTAAAATGTCTGAAATCAATCAGACATTTTTGGACGCCACAATCCCAAAGAAAGCCTGTGAAATCCTTGAGGGACTGCAACAGAAATTAAACATGTTAAAGTGTAAATACAATAAGTGTGGACGGAAGGTTGACACTGACAGGGACAAGGTCCATACGTTCACCTCCCTTCACAGAACCAGGACAGTGAGTACTGACAAAGAGCTGTTTGTGGAGCTCTCATGTGGAAGCAGAGGACGGAGGACCAATCAACAGTCAGAGCCGAGCGCACAATAGAGAGCTCTCTGTCGTCATGACAACTCAACGTGCGGCACACGGAGACGAGGCGACGGAGGCGGAGAGGTGAGAGCCGGAATCAATTTGTTCCTTGTTGTTAGAACAACGCCTGGACACGACGGACCGGCGGTGACCCTGAACGCACCACAGAGTTGATCCTCAGTAATCTTTAAGGGTCGGCGTTAAAGGTTAAAGACTTTTTAAGACCTTTTTAAGATCTTTATGATGCAATTTAAGGACCGTTTTACATCCATGGTGGTAAAAAAATACTAACGAGTATACGAAGAAAAAAGCGATTTTGGTTTCGTTTTGTAGTTGTTACAGAATGATCAACACAAATATTTAATAGGCTTTTTAAGACATTTTAAGGCCTAAAATCCTGATTATTTGAGTTCATTTTAAGACTTTTTAGGAGAATAACAATGTGTAGGTTCTTACTATCACTATCGTCAGCTTTAATATTGTAGGTTTTATCCACATTTAAGACCTTGGTTCAGACTATTTTCCCAGTAACGTTATTATGAAACATCAACAACATCTGTAATTACAGATTTACATCTAGAGACATTCGTTATCGTCAGTTTTTCTTCAGGATTTTTCATCAGGATTGTGAAAAATAAAAATATAATGAATGAACAAATGGAGTTCAGTGTTTACTGACAGAAGAAATAAACTCAACAGGGACAGCTGTACTGAATTAGCTTAAACAGCATCTCACTGAAAAACAGACAAATTAAAATATGCTGTCGGCTTATTGAATGCGCTGTACTGTCGTACCGTAGTCGGTGACACATTTCGGTGCCCGCTGCTCCGTCTCCGTGTTTCTCTTCTTGTTCTTTGACTTCCAGGCGTGGTAAACTTTGAGCCGGCGGTGGAACTCCTCTCTGCAGGCGGCCAGCAGCTCGATGTCTGGAAGAGACGGACAGAAAATCACTAAAAACATCCGTAGTTTGCAACCACCAGGAACTGCAGCAGTTGGGTCTTTTAGCCATTTATCATCATGTTTAACTTTCTATTAACAGTTTTCAGACTGACACTGATTATAATTTATGTAATTTCCAACACTGTTTGTGAACCCCAGCATACAGAAATATTCTAATAAACTAGTTGAACATAACACATTTATACCAAATGCAAAAAATGCATGTGATTAGCATAAAGTCCAAACAGTGGAGCGTTATTTAGCCTCCTTCCCAACATGCTAGGTTGGTACCAAAGGATGCGTTACCAGCAGCAGCTTCACACTACAGCTTCAGTGTGAGTGGGAGAGGGAATTAAAATGGACTGGCACTGGGGGTGGCCAATCAGATTTCAGGACCCACTCTAGATGCACCCCTGCCCTAGAGTGATAAAACTTTTGTTGGGGACCCACTACAACACACGCAAGGACCCCTGTTGGTCCCCAGTTTGAAACCCACAAGCACTCCTGATTGGGGTTCACTGCTCTAAAATATCTTCATATGCTGTAATTAGATTTCCTTTCAGAGGCGGAGAGCACATGTGTAGGGGTGTCCACATACTTTTAAATATTATTGACAGATATATTAACTTTTGTTCCTTTCCGCTCTGAACTTCTGTTCTTTGATATCTTTACAGAAGTCGGTACAGTGTGTGAGCGTGCCCTCGCAGACTGCAGCATTAAGATAACACATTTCATCAGGATGATTCAGATTAATGACTTCAGTGGAAAAAGAAAAAAACCCTTACAACATTCAATTTATCATCGGCAGCTAACAGTGCAATGAGACGCTTAATGCACACTAAGTGCTCAGGTAACGTCAGCTGAACAAAAATACTTTGGAGGCAGACAAACGCCGAGAGAAAAAACAACTTCCATTTACTGAAATCGCTGCAGACTAAACGAGACTGTGGCAGTTGTCAACAACCCCTCGTCGCTCTGCTTTCCCGCCGCTGCAGATCATCATGAGCGGGCGGACGTGATCACATCAGTATTCAATCTCCAGCTCTGCCTGCGAGGCGAGGTGAGCGGCCCGTTAACGCCAAACTGAGTCATTTCTGAGTGTCCGCCCGCAGGCTCCGGTTCTCCAAAGCGGTCATTTGTGGGATGCCACCGGGGTGTCGGCGCCGGCCTCCTCCTTCATGCTTCCTGCTGCGTGGATTCAGACAGGTTAACCTCAATATCATGAGAGTGCAACACATTCTCCCCTCGGCTCTCTTCTTTAACTCTCCTCCATTACTGAATCATTATCAGCAGAAATATCTGTTCCGACCTTTTACCTCGTTTATGTCCTTTCTGTTACACAGAACCATCTGCACTGTTAAAAAAAAGTTTACAAGGTTTTTCACGATTATTATTTTCATTAAATAATCATAAAATGACTGCTTATTTAAAGATTTTTTTCTTTTTTTGACATAAAAAGACGCAAATATTTACACATTATAGATTAAAATGTTGAATTCAACTTTAATACTGTTTATTCAGTACTAATTAACCCTAACCCATACAATTATGTAAGATTAGTGACAATTAACAGTGAAAAACTGTCCTGTAACTTTACATGGATTTGTTTGTTAATTGACAGATATCTTGTATAATTTATAAAGTCGTCCTTGGAAAGGGTTTCTTTCAAAAACACACTAATCAGGTGATTGGATGAACCATCTATCGCTGTCCATCACAGGCAAACGTCAATCGATCGGATCAACGAAGTCAGTCGGGAGAAGAGCGAGAACATCTCCATCGACAGAAGCCTTCAGTGACAATCTTTGCTCTTCGTTCAATGAAGAAACTCAATATGCAGAGTAACGGACGTGACTTACAACTTTTTCCTAACCCTAACCAAACCTTTTCACAACATTAACCATGCTTCGAGAGGGGCACCTAAAGCCTATTTTGGCTGAGCAGCAGTGTTTGACAGGTTGGGAGTGAGAACGTATTGATTCATGCTGTGACACACTTTATACCACCCCCATAGCTGCCAGTAGTTCCTCATTGAACCACTGCAGTCCAGACCGATCAGTAGCACCTGAATCCAGCTGCCTCACAAGGTTATAAAAAATGGCTGCACTTAATTACATCTTTCAGTCAAAGAAATACTACTAAAGTAAAGTAAAAAGCAAAGTATGTATATATAATATTGTTTATCTGTCACCAACAGCTTTGTTCTACTGCAGCACTCGGTCAGAGGTCACATATCTTCTAAGGTATTTCTGTCATAACAAAATCAATGTGATGAACATTTAATGATACTAAACTGTAGCACCTTCAAACAGCCCTGGATAAGATCATCATCTACCATTTAAATGTCAGTGTTTGAAGGTTGAGTAGTATGCAGCAGTCTAACATGTTCATCATCCGGTATTGTCATATTTTGTTTGACAAAGCAATACGAGGGGTACAACTGTGGTATCATCACGATAGGTTTTGTTAGAAAGATGTTCTGTTCGACCAGCAGTTCACTCTCTCTCTCATGTTCACCCACATGAGAGAAGTGTTCATAAAATGAGCCACAGTTTACCAAAAATAAAAGTAAGTGATGTGGAAAGTGAGCAGCAGTTTCTGTCAAAGCTTCCCGTTCGGTGGAAATGAGGCTAAACTACTGACCATTAACTTATTCCCAGAGCCATAACCTGTGAAAACCTGTTCATCCTCTACGGAGCTCGGTGGCCTTCTGCCTGTTAGTTTATAGGACACTTTCACCTGAGGTTGGCGCTACAGGAAAGTGTCCTCTGGGAAGCAGGAATTTGCAGGAGGGTACACGTGAGACGTTTGGTGTCATGGTGGTGCTACAGAAAGGCAACAAAAACATCTGAATTCATCCTCTGAAGATCAAGAATAATCTTGAAGAAGTTTTTTAAGATACCATGTCATGGACTGAAGCACTGGTGGAAAGGTCATTGGGTCATTCCAATTAAGCCAGTCCATCCTCTGGGTAGCAGGAATGTGCTCAGATTTACTTGATTTTGATATTCAAGTGCAAATGTTGGTCAGATTGCAATAGTGGAAAAACACTAGAAACATTACCAATGACTACCAAAAGATTCATCCTCTGGTGACCATGAACACTCCCGACAAATTGAAAAGAAGTGTGCCTCTTAGTTTCAGATACTTTCTCATGGGTTTAAATATTTGTTTTGGTGGTGGTCTGAGAATAAAGGTCAAGATATCTGCAAAATTACTTGAAGTCATCCTCTGTGGACCGTGAACATCCACGTAAAAAAGTTAATGTTAATCTATCCAGCAGTAGATTTTCTCTCTATGGACCACAGTGTAAACACAAACTGAGCAACAGAACAATTCTATGATCTTCAGACGCTCTGACGGCTCTTCTCAGAGGTTTCCAGTGTTTATACCCATTCTGGTCTGCTTTGGGACAACTTCAAGCAACCCACTGGGGAATATACCACCGTGTGTCACTATGTTGATGACACGTACGCCGTGGTGACAAACTGAACCGTCAGACTCACCACATGAGGTATTGATGGCGTCCCGCAGCTCGGCGTACTTCCACTTGCTCAGCTCGTACTTCTTGGCCCCAGCGGCAGCCTTGGAGGCCTGGACCTGTGGACCTCTGATGGGGGAAACAAGAGAAGACAAGAAGGGCGCAGGAAGTCAGCAACAAAGAGCGACAGCAGTGAACTGTGGGATACCGGCAGCAGGGGACGTATGTGTGCAGATCAGAGGTTATTCAGTCTGAACTTGGGTCAGAGAGGATTTGTAAGTTATGAACTGTGGAAGTAGATTGGTAGAGTTCACTCTGAATAAGACTCAAAGTAGTTAAAGAACCCTAATGTTTTATTGTCCCCAGAACAGATATTTAGACCCTGTCTGGGTGGGCTAGCGTTAAAAAACCTAATTTAAAGGTCCTATTTTCATAAATTCTGCCATCATATGTGATAATATATTTCTTATCAAGTTTATTTCTAAGGTCTGGGCAGCTGTAAAGAACAAACAAACAGAAGCAGTCAGTCGATCGGACAGTTCATCCAGATAATTTAAACCACTGTATTTAGAGGTAAAACTGCAGCAGGAGGAAACAGGAACTGTGATGAACAGCCGACAGATCTGATCACTGTTTGTCTGACCTGGAGGTTTGTTTCCAACCTGTCTGCTGCCCGTTTCTTGTCCCATTAGACAGACTTTATTTAATGCTACTGCTTAAAATTACGTCATAAATTACTTTGGCAACAATAATATGATAACATGGCCACAGCTACATCACTAAACCCAAAATGTTTCTTTAAAATGTTTAATTGGAATAATGTTTAAAGCAAAAATTAGAAAAATATTTTTGAACCAGTTTGTCTTTAGTGATATTAGGATTAACATAAGACAAAAAATATATAGAATTATCCTTTAAAACCAACAGATTGAGTTGTACAGTTGTTGGAAAATTAGCTCTGGAGACCAAAAGGCTTTTAATATGAGGCCTTATGGAGCCTCTAGTGGCCATTGGAGGAACTGCAGGGTTTCGTAGATATTGTAGCTTCACTTTTATGCGGAGTAAAAAGTAGCTCAGAAACTACCTGAATCATCTTTCACAGTAAACTCCGCCCACCTGAATGTCATCACAGCAACAGACTAACAGAAGAATCACAGGTTCAATACTCTGTCTGTTGTTGAGGTGAAAGACAAACAGGGTGTCACATTAGCAGCATTGTTGTTAGAAGGAAAGAGAAAGATATAGAGGATGACATCATTAAAATGCATGCTGTCTCAGTCGCCAGGAAGTCAAAAAGCGGCTTTGCTACGGCGGCGTGGAGTGGCAGCTCGCTGTATGAGAATTACAAAGAATACAGCTCCTCTCCAGCTGTGGGCTCGCTCCTCGTGGCGCCACTGACAGACCTGATTAATCTGTGACCGGGATTTGCCCTTTTTAGAACACTGGGGGAAGTTGGAGGCGGGACACTGCTGCTTTCTCTAATCCTATTGGGCGCTTGGCGATTAGTGAGAGCTGGCCTCGGACCCGGGCGGCTGTAACCGCTTTCCCAGAAGCACACGGCGGCTTTGGCAGTGCAGCTAAGTGGCCGCAGTCACCTTCTGCTCCGACTTTCTGCTGCTCTGTGTTTGTTTGTGGCGTGGCGAGAGGGCGGCAGGAGCCAATTAGCATCAGACAGACGATCTGAAGAGAGACTGCCGTGCTAACGGCGAGAGGAACGCACGTGGGAAATACGAGTTAATCCAATGAGAAAGTGCACAGTCATTGTGTAACTGTGGCTGTTTTACCTGCTGACAACGTCGTTAAAGGTCATTTCTGTTCTCACAGATGAAGATTTTTAATTTTTAATTTCTTTCCAAGGAGTAGGCGGGAAAATACACCTTTAAACTTTACTTTAATTTCCAACTGCACTAAAAAACTAATTTCTAGTCCAAAAACCATCCAGAATTCAGTGTACTGGGTTGCTCAGCTGTTCTCATGCTGTTAGTTTCATATATGTTTACATATAATCAGTTGGCTTTTAAACACCAAAGGTCCAATGGAAGACGACTGGATTGCACTGGGACACCTCCACACAGGAAACAGTGACAGCGGCAGCGTTAGAGCACGTTTGCTCACTTTAAAGTTCCTTTAAATGAACGTGTCATTATTATACAGTGTCAGCGTGCTGGGACACTCAAAATGGCCAAAAAGTCAGAAAGTCATCAGAAGTCCTTCCAGCTTCCAGACAGGGGGAGTTTAAACACTGCTAGTAAAACTGCCGGGGAGCGGGACCCGAAAAAGCCACAGAACCAGAGCATTTAACAGGCAGCTGAGAAAATATAGAGATTATAATCATTAAATGAATATCATTAATATTATATTACCTGATAAGTTGATTCTATTTTCACTGAATCATTTTTGCTGCAGACTGCAGCTTTAAAACCATAAAACAAGCCAGAGCTCAACTTAAACCAGCTCTTGTGAGAGCGGAGTAAAATACAGCAGGAGCTTCAGCCTGCAGAGGTCAGTGGCTGCAGGTCGACTGACAGGACTCACTGGACCAGAATCAGTAACCTACAGTGAGTATTAACTGTTACTGAAGGAATTAACAATTAAATCAAGTTCTTGAATTAGATTTTGATTATCGACAGTCAATAAAATCAACCGGACTCTTCAGGAGGATTTCTGAATCACATATTATTTTTTAATTGAAGAATTTGGTCAATTTAGAGAAAATAGAAGCGATTGATTGTGAAGAGATTTTCACGCTTTGCGACCGGTTTCTACCCACCGAGCCAGAAGTTCAGTCATTTCCTTCGCCATTTCCTCCCTAAAAAAGCATGACGGTCCCAGTTTGAACACATTAGTAAACTGCTGGATGGTTGTTCACAAAACACTGACTGCACAGAAACACTCAGAGGTAGAGAGGAGGAGGAAGAACAAACAGACATCATATATGAAGAGTGGAAAACAGGAACATGTAACAGAGAGGGTGACTACAAATGTGATTTATATATACGACTAATTCACAACAGAAAATACATTTGGAGGGAAACTCAACTTTGGTTCGGGGAAGATTGAGGGATATTAATAAAGTCAGAAGATGAGTTTTTCAATATTTAGGCAAAACTACAAAAATTCCCTAAAGCTGAACCAAAGAACCAGAAATAATTACTTTACTTTAAGAAAATAAACTCCATTACAAGTCAAAATCATGTTTTAAAAACGTACTGTAATGACAACAAAATATAATTAAACTATCAACAGTAAAATTAATAGTTAAAAAAGTACAATTTTATATATTATAATTATAAAATAATAAAAATTTATTTATTACTTATTACTCTTTGGGTTAGCTGGGTAGTTACATCTGAAAGCTAATGTTAGCAAAATGCTAGCTAACTACCGAGCCAATTTACATTAATCTTTAGTCAGCTAGCTTTTTTCTAACATTAGTGAGCTAACATAGGATGTGACTATGTTGCTTTTATCTTTTAACCCACTGGTTCACAAACTATGTTACAGGTACCGCTGGATGTCAATTTCCCTCAAACATATGAAATAAAACACACTGAGTAGCTCGTAAAGGTTAATTTCTACTCAACACTAAGACCTAAGTGTTGCGGGGTTGTGAAGGGGAGCAACAAAAACTCTTAATGGAGGTGAAGGAGAGAATAAGGGAGGAAGCAGTTTGACTGCAGCTTTAAAGATAAAAGTCTAAATGTAACAACCTGTAACATTTCCTCCTTAAACACTGTGTATATATATAACCTGAGACCTTTTGTTCCTTCTCTGGTCCCACAGTTGTCTATAACCTGGTGTTCAGTATCAGTTAGTAAGGACACTGCGTGATGAAGCCAGCAGTGAAGAGTGGGTCGGTGTATAAAGTGCTACTCCAGTCATATATGGACTCTACTACAGCTGAAGCATCAGTTTCAGCTTCCAGAGTGACTGTGTATGTGGGTCGACTGCAAGGGAGGCTGAGGCCTAACGAGCGACTGTGTGTGGCACATAGAGACACGGTGTGGTGGGTTTGGTGTTTTAGTATGGAGAGGGAACCTACATGGTCAAGCTCTTGAGTTTTGTGGCTCCAGCAGCGCTGTGAAAAGAGGATTATAGGATTATGAGACGGAGCAACAACACAAACCAATCAGCGGGAGGAGAGGTGATTCCTTTCCCCCGCCACGCAACAGGAAGTGATTCTCCCTCAGAACTCCAATCAGAGGACACGATTCATCAAACCGCTGAGGGCAGCTCTCATGTAATCAAATGTATTGATTTATTATCTGTAACGTTGGTTAAAGTTGGTCGATCAATGTGTCTGATTAATGACTTCATATCTGTTTTAATTAGTGCTTCTCTAAAAATACTGAAATAATGTTTATTTCTAGATGTATTCTGGCTTTAATTGGTTTTTATTTATTTATTTGTCTATCTTTCTTTTTTTATTTTAATATTTTCATCATTTATCATCTGTTTTATCTTTTTCTATGGTTTATTTACACATTTTAATCTGATTTATTACTTTATTTAAACATGTGACTCAGTTTTATTATTAAAATCATACCGATAAGTCATTAAAGTCTCAGTAATGTCAGTTCATGAGCAGGAATATTAAATATTTGAAATATTTTCATGCTTTTGTACAACAGAGTTGAATTATAAAAGTTTAAGGTTTTCTTATTTTGTTCCTGTGCCTGATCCTGATACATCGTACAAAAGCATAAGAATATTTCAAAATGTCGAGAATAAAGTCTAGAATTATATATTTATATAAATGATACTACTATTAATACACTATATTATACTCATTTATTTTTAATTTATTATATTATAGAAATGTTTTTTACTTATATATGGCAATAACACTGTTATTTACTAATGTGTTTATTATTCTACATATAGTTAGCGATAAATAAAGTTATATATTGAACTGCTAACGCTCATATCAGACCAATAAAAGTGTGTTTTAATGTTAATTAATGTAACCTTTAGGAGAAATATTGTGTGATTTATTCTTTCAGATGTAATTTTGCTTTTTAAAGTTCATTCTTCGTTCTGATCCTCAGCAGTTTGATAAAAACGAGGTGGATGACAATCACAATTAAAACTGGTGCTAAATACTTTGGTGGAATGTGGACAATAAAACTTCCGATAAAAATAAAACTGGTGCCACTGTTAGTTAGCTGCAATCAGCGTCTCATTGTTAGAGGTCAGTGCTCGCTGGCGGGTTGTTACAGCATGCGGGGGGTTACGGGTTGAAAGGTCAGAGGCAGGGGGGGATTGTGGGAATAAATGAAAGGGTTAAATCGCCGGGTCTTACACTGCTCTCTCTGGGGACGATGGAACTGAGGAGCCGTTGCTGGGAGGAAGAAAAACAGAAAAGAAAGAAGACAAATGGTTAAACTCAGGAACCATCGGAGCCGGCAGTTCCTCCGGTTTTAATAAAAGTTTCTGCAAGAACTCGTCAGCAGCAGAGTCGCCTCAGTCCGACAACATGTCAGACCGAGAAACAGGAAATCGAGCTCTCCGGCAGCAGATTGACACATCGTGATGCATTATCGATGGTGGGTTTGGGCTTCAGGATCATTAAACATTCAGTGTTTTTCAATCTGCAGCCCACACATCATGTGTCAGTATCCTGTCAGACTACAGACCCGACCTGAACCCTTCACGCTCCCGCCACAGGCTGCGGCGCCAGGAACAGGCTGTGAGAGCGTTGGAGCGACGCACCGAAGACTGCAGCCGGGTAGCGTTGCATTTATCTCTCAACATTGTCCATAACAGACAGAAATAATACTTTACTCATTATTGTTCACCTGTTTTCACAGATCAACAAAAGATTTCAGTTTCCATACAGATAAGTATAACCGTATAAATACAGTTTTAAGACTGTAATTTGAAACTATGATGAACATTTGTCCAAATAAACTAGATTAACAATTGATTTCTGCCTGTCCTACGTGGAACAGTACGTGTATTCATTCTGAACTGTTTGGTACAGAACGTTTTAGTTTTTCAGAATAAAAGACAATTTAATGTCTGCTTTAGATCATCTGAACTCCCAGCAGCCCCTTGAGAGCACCTGGACCCGGTATTAACCTCCTGAGTTAATTAAGCAGCAGGTTGCCGTACGGTGGAATACGGCTGCTTCATAAGTTACAGGTCATTAAACTCCTGCTGTGTCCACAGGCTCAGAAACTCATTACTACAGTCTCATTGGTTTTTGGGTGTAACAGAGACTTAAAGTGTCTTTTCTCCTTTTAAATAAAGTTTACCTCCTTTAGCTTGGAGATAAAGTTCTCCTACAGACATGGAGGGGTCATCTTTTACCTTCGCAGGCCTGAGTCGTTCTGCACCTCCTCCGGGATGAGCTCGGCCTCGCTCTGAGCGATCCTCAGCGCCAGCTCCCGGTCTCTCCTCTCCTGCTCCAGGATGGTCTGTCGAGCTGCGTCCTCCTCGCGCTCCGCCTGCAGCTGCAGCTCCATCTCCACCTGAACACACACAGCGCAAAGCATTTCACATTCCCGCTGCCAGAACTCGCTCGCCGCCGCCCGGCTGGAGTGTCTCTGCTGCTGTTCACACATGTACAAAGTGTTGGAGTCCGTTCAGGTTTGGACTCCTCGGAGTCGTCGACCATCTGCAGGTATAAAATATCTGCCAGATCCACTGCAGGGCAACGGCCTTGTGCTGCATTCACATGCAAGGCCTCAGTACGGGACGTTAGAAAAGTTCATTTCTAAGTATATTTGACCACCTTAAAATGAGTAGTATTACATTTTTATCTAAACATCGTGTATAGAGACCTGAGTGTCCGTACAGACACCAAATTTAACACAATTTTTTATTGTTAAAAAATTTACATTTTTAAATTTAATAAAAGGAGCTGAAGGTTATTTTGTCCAAATAAAACACAAAAACTCTAAAATTATTATTTCAGTTAAAAAAAACTACTCCTGCACAGATTTTAAAAAATATATATATTTTTAATTTGTGGAAAGAGCTGAAACAAAATGTTTTCACTTGTTTTCACAGATGAATAAAAACGTATCTTGCCTTTCAGGGCTTTCGTAGAGACCAGAGTCTCCATATCGGCCAAAATGCTGCATTCAAATGAAATTTTCATTTTTAAGTGTATTTGACAGTTCAGCCAGTAGTGAGACTGTTAGATATTTGCAGCGGTAATTCATCGCAGACTGTGATTGGCTGTGACTGGCTCTGATTGGCTGATCTCATTCCTGCAACACGATACTAAATTTTTATTTCTAACAGCGACTGCTGCAGAGGAGCTGATTTGTATTCGATTATGTAAACTGTGAGTTTTGGCTGCTGTTTTAAAGTCAGACTTACAGAGAAAACCGAATATCTCTGGGTGTTTTTGGACTTTTGATTTGACAAAACAATCTATCTGAAGAGGTCACTCTGGGCTCATGATGGACATTTCTCAGTATTTTCTGACATTTATCTGATTACCCTGAAATACAATCAATAGACTGATCAATAATCATAAGTCACAGCTGAACCAGCGGACGCAGTAACTTGTTGGTATTCATGGAGGCAGAACTCTGAATCGATGAACACACACACACACAGACACCCTTCAACCCACAGTCACAGCGGGTGAGGAGCTGCAGCCGGCAGGGATAACTTCATCTCGTCTGTCCTGCTCATTAAAGGCGAGGGAGCGGAGGGCGGAGCTAACCTGGATGATTAATGCTCTTGTTCCCACCTCTCTTCATGGAAACGTGGAAACGTCTAACGGCTCGATGACAGGCATCACCAAGGTGCTGAAGGTCATCTTTACCGGAGACAGTGAGGAATATTTGAACCTTTAATTTGCACATTTTATCATTCCTAACACCTTCAAAAGGGACAGTTCACCCTAAAACAAAAACACATATTCTATATTATCGTCTACATTCAGCTTTTGGAGCTCAAAGCGCCAAAAACCTTTCTAAACCTAAGCAGCAACGTGTCTTTATAGGTTTAATGACACTGCAGTTCATTTTACTCTCTTTGTGTTTTATAACATGTTTAGTTTTTGCAGATTTTAGTTCATTATATTCTCTTTTTGTATTAAATCTGTTCTGTTCTGTTTTATTGTAAAGCAGCACGGCTCCCAGTACCAGCAATATGTCCCACACAGGCGGCTGTGGCTGGATTGGGGTCGTCCCCCAATCAGAAGGTTTGGTTCGATCCCGCTCTCCTGCCACGTATCTCTCTCTT